TTTAGTTTTATGTGAGATTGGTCACTATTTGATGAATAGGTGACGGGTAGAGATGATATTCGGAGTAGAGACCTATTCACCTATCTGTTCAGACTAAAATGTGAGTTTTCATCACTGCACTTGCGGGTCGAAGCCACCAAGGCCTGCCCATTGGATTTGGTATCTTGTTTTATTGTGTGTTGTTATGTTGAGATACATATTCATTGGGTATGTGATTAGACTGGTGGATCAATAGGACTACTTGTGCTTGTTAATTATTGTTTGATATTGTAATTTCAACATGTTATGGTTTGTTAGGTTGAGGCATACCAGCTGGTACTGAAGGCCAAGACATCCAGGGCGGCCTGAATAGACTGAAGTCTTGCGAGGCGGTCCAATCAATCTGAAGGCCCTAAGAGTGGTCTAGATAGCATGTAGGCCTGCGAGGCGGTCCAGTCATGCTGAAGGCTCATGTATGCATGCTGTTGTTTGTATGGCCGTGTGTGGTATTTTGGGGGAAGTTACTAAGCTTTGACTTACAGTTTCAGTTTGTTGTTTCAGGTACTTTAGAGGACCAGAGGGAGGCAAATGTGTGATGGTGCACATTCTTTTGGATTCTATGTTATTGGATTTTGCGATACCCTAATTTATGACTTATACTTTTGAAACAATGTTTTGGAAACAATTAAGGTGTTTGGGTTGTTTTTGAAAAATGAAAATTTTACTCTGATTTTTGGGATGTTACAAGATTGAACTAGTCCTCTTTGATGACAAGCGTATGTCATGGTTTACAATCTTTTTATATTGGATTTTCTAAAAAATTGTTTGCTACAACCCTTTTATGACAATCCAAGGGTACCTCTAGAAGATTTCTCAATATCATAACTCCTAATGTAAAATAGGTTTCACCAATGTCTTCGATCTTGAATTTCTTTGTCAAATGTTTTTGGTTTCGTGAAATAAAGCTACATATTTACTAGCGAGAAGAATAAAATTGACATATAATACCATAAACACATATTTATTCTCACTTAACTTGTGATATACACAATCAATTATAACATTTAAAAAAAATATATGAGGTAATGACTAGGTGAAACTTATGATATTAGAAAACAAGCTTGATACCATAGATAGATTTCTTTAAATTGCAAACTCGCTGTAAATCTTCGATATCATGACATAATGTTTCTTGGTTAAGCTGTATGAATCATTTCATGAGCATCTCCATTTAGAAACACATTATGCCCATCTAATTTAACTATAGATCAAAATGAACATTTTACTTAGATTTTGGAATGTTACAAGAATGAACTAGTATTGTTTTATAACAAGCATATATCTCATGGGTTACTATGTTTTTATATTGGATTTGCTCAAAATTTGTTTGCAACAACTCTGTTGTGACAATCCAAGGGTTCCTCTAAGATGATTTCTCAATATCATAACACCTAATGTAAAATAGGTGTCACCAAGATCTTCGATCTTGAATTTCTTTGTCAAATGTTTTTGGTTTCGAGAAATAATGTTATATATGTATTAGCAAGAAGAATATAATTGACATATAATACCATAAACACATATTTGTTCTCACTTAACTCGTGATATACACAATCATTTATAACATTTAAAAAATATATGAGGTAATGGCTAGGTGAAACTTATAATATTGGAAAACAAGCTTGAGACCATAGATGGATTTCTATAAATTGAAAATTGGTCGTAAATATTTGATATCATGACATAATGTTTTCTGGTTAAGCTATATGAATCATTTCATCAACATCTCCATTTAGAACCACATTATGTCCGTCTGATTTAACTATATATCAAAATGAAAATTTTACTCTTATTTTTGTAATGTTACGAGACCGAACTAGTCTTCTTTTATAACATGCATCTCATGGTTTACTATCATAACTCCTAATGGAAAATAGGTGTCACCAAGATCTTCGATCTTGAATTTCTTTGTCAAATTTTTTTGGTTTTGTGAAATAAAGTTATATATTTACTAGCGAGAAGAATATAATTGACATATAATACCATAAACCGTATTTATTCTCACTTTAATTGTGATATACACACTCAATTATAACATTTAAAAAAATATATGAGGTAATGACTAGGTGAAACGTATGATATTTGATAACAAGCTTGAGACCATAAATGGATTTCTATAAATTTCAAACTAGCTGTAAATCTTCGATTCTATGACATAATGTTTTCTGGTTAAGCTATATGAATCTTCTCGTCAACATCTCCATTTAGAAACACATTATGTCCGTCTGATTTAACTATATATCAAAATGAAAATTTTACTCTGATTTGTGGGGTGTTACAAGACTCAACTAGTCCTTTTTTTATAACAAGCATGTCTCATGGTTTACTATCTTTTTATATTGGATTTGCTCAATATTTGTTTGTAACAACTCTTTTGTGACAATCCAAGGGTACCTCTAGATGATTTCTCAGTATCATAATTCCTAATGGAAAATAGGTGTCACCATGATCTTTGATCTTGAAATTCTTTGTCAAATTTTTTTGGTTTCGTGAAATAAAGCTATATATATATACTAGCGAGAATAATATAATTGAAATATAATACCATAAACACATATTTATTCTCACTTAACTTGTGATATACACAATCAATTATAATATTTAAAAAATATATGAGGTAATAGCTAGGTGAAACTTATGATATTGGAAAACAATCCTCTGAGAGCACGGATGGATTTCTATAATCTGCAAACTAGCCATAAATCTTCGATATAATGACATAATGTTTTCTGGTTAAGCCATATGAATCATTTCGTCAACATCTCGTTTTAGAAACATATTATGTCCGTCTGATTTAACTATAGATCAAAAAGAGGTATAAGTTCTATTAGCATTCCAAAAGAGTTTTTTCAATGATATCATATATAAGGCCTTTTTCCTTCATTTTGATTGAAGCCCTTTGAGATTAGACGACTCTTATATATCTCGATGATACCATTTAAATACCTTTTGGATTTAGAGATCCATTAGAAACCAATAGGTTTCTTACTCGTTGGCAACTCCATGACATCCCAGACATCATCTTCTTTTACTGACTTCATTTCACCATAAATGACATTAATCCATTACTGAGAGTTAAAACAACACATTGTTTGATGAAAGTTGATTGGATCATCATTCATTACACTAATGTCATCCTCATGTTCTTGGATAAAAATGATACGATCATATAAAATGGTATTTTTCCATGCAATATTGGATCTACTGAATGACATTCCTTAAGGTTGTTAATGTTGATTTTATAGTTGGTGCTTCATAAAAATCTTAATGGCTCTTGCTTAGGGACAATGTTAGGAATGTTTTCCTCTAAAACTGTATCTTGAGCGACCATAAGTACAACACCCTAGTATAAAACTATAAATATAAAACCTCGGTAACCTAAAATAGCATATTCTTCTGCAATAATGAACAACTATATGTATGAAACATTCGTCACCGACTATAGTTATCAAACATTTGTCACCAAAATAATGTATTCTTCTCCAAAACAAAACCTCTAATGTTTTATTCATCTAAAAACTCAACATTTTTAAGGAATCTTTCATTTCATATTTAAAAAAAAAAAAAAAAAAAAAAAAAAAAAAAAATTAAAGAGACAAGGGATTATAGAACTTGTAGCTCTGAAGGGTAATAAAATAATATACCAACTAATAGTTCTTAAGTCTAGTTTCTCCGTATGTGGCTTATTATAAGTCCTAGCTTCGGGTGGACAACCTAAATATGTAATTATATAATGCTTGGTCTTTTATTATTAGTTTAAAGATTGTAAATGAATTTTGTAGCTATTGTATTTAGAGATTCTCTTAAAAGAGAGTCTAGTAAGAAATAAAGACTAATCATATTTCCTATCATATCTTTAAATGTTGGGTTTCGTTGTTCAACTACAACATTCCTTTAGGTCTGGCTAACATGTTTATCATACATCCACATTATTCACCATGGTTAACCTTAATTTTCTTTCCATATTGTAAGATTCTTCTCACTCATCACAAAAATATTATTCACTTGGGTAGATATGTTTGACAAGTATCAATAAATACTAAATCCATAAACGAAATATAAAAAACAAATATATCCCCACTAAAATTATATTTTATATTAATGTATCTCAAATTATCTAAGAAAACGTTAATCAAACAATCTTTTCCCAAAAAAAGACATTAAAACTCTTAAAGGAGAGTATCCCAAATGCTCGAATGATCTTTTATGTGGGATTTGATAAGACTAGAAGGAAACTCTATATTATTTCTCTACCAACCAATAAGGACACACATTAAGTGTTTTGCCTTTTACATGGGAATTGAGAAATATTAGAAGGAAACTTATGGCCTGATTGATTGTTGTGGTCAAGTAAAGTGCTTTTCCAAAAGTGTTTTCTAGAAAAATTTATTGATTGGGAAATAAACCATTTGAACATTTGATGGACTATGCTAAATGATGAAAAATGTTCATTTAGCAAGAATTATATGATTTGGGGCTTTCTAGGAAAGATAAATTTAACGGGAAAGACCATTTTTTTTTTTAAATCAAGTAGTCTTTTCAGCCCATTCAGCAAGAAAAATTTGTTTAGACCTGGAAAAATATCTATCAAACGGAGCCTTATGCTATATCCCGACCAAAAAATAAGTCCATGCAATATGTGTTTTACCTTTTATTTAGTACTTTCAAAATTAGAAGGAAAGTATTTGGTGTTTTTCTAACTAACAAGTGCATGCCATATGCATGTTACCTTTAAGATGATTAATTAACGATTGATTTTTAATGAGATTGTTGTTAGGACGTACCCTTAATTATATGAATAGTTTTCATATCTGAGTATGCTACAAGTAACTTTTTTATTATTTAAACAGTTGATGTACATAATAACTATTACACAGTTATTTTTGATTCGATAATAAATCTAGTTCTTTGATGCTAACATTTTTTCATTAATGTTATATTAAAGGAAAAAAATTGTATTACTCCTTTTCATTATGTTATATCAAAGAAAAATAAAGGATACGAAACATCTTATGGAATTTAAAGTACTCATGCATATTTTTTTTTTTTCAGTTTTCATTTTCTTTGTGTTAGAACGATATATTCTCGCAGTAACTTATGAACATGTGATAGAAGACATTCATCTTATTTGAATTTATAGTTCTAAATGTTCTTACTACTATTTAATCCACGTACTTCCATCAACATAAGAGATATCCATGAACGGAGCTGCTTCAGCTTTGGTCAGTTTCTTTGCGTATTTAACCCTAAGAACGTTTATTGCTCCTGGACCAGAGCACCCATACTCTCCAAAGTAAACTAACCTGGAAATACAATTAAACATTAGGCAAAAAATGTTAGTAAAATTGATTAGTTACATAAAATACAAATGTCATATTAGAATAATAAAATGTAGTGTTATATTGCACTTTTTGATGGTAGAACAATAGAAGCGTCAAACGTCGTAGTATAATTAAAAAAAAAAAAAAAAATGTACGTAATTTACATAAAATACAAATGTCATATTTGATATGGATCTTGGAGGATTTCAAATTAATGTGAGAATGCATGCATTCAAATAAGCATCTAACATAGATGGTTAACATGAGAATGCATGCATGCAAAGAAATTTTGAACTTTTATGATTGAAGTAAGGGGTAGAAAGAGTAAAATAGCCATAACTGATCTCTTTTGGGGTCTCTCCAATCATTCCAGCCATCTGGAGAAATAACTGCAGACATGAAAGTGTTTAAGTAGACGATAGTTGAATATAGACCCCAAGCCCTACCAAGCCACACCTTGCCACTTCCTCCTATCTTACAGTTCACAAAAGAAAACCCTGTTTTCTCTTTAGTTGAGGCTCTTTGTTGTGCTGCTATAGCTCCAATGGCCTTAGCACCACTGGGTACCGAGTTAATTTCACAATCCTGACAGAAGAAGGTGGTTAAAAACATATTACATATACTTCTCTTTATCGATCGATCTAGGTTTTCTTGAAAGAGTGATAATTACTTGGTAGAGTGATCTAGCATTCCCAAAGATAAAATCTACTGTTCCTTCAATGTGACAGTGTTTGAAATAATGCCTTCCTTCAGCATCATTAAGAGTGTCTTGAAATCCAAAAAACCCGCAATTATAGAAAGCTGATTGATCTCCTCTGACTCTCAGTGCTACAGCTTGTCCTCCAACTGCACCTGGCGCTGGACGAGGAGCTGTGTTCTTTGCCATTCGAGAACAAAGCAGCAAGCATGCCAATATTTAATGGAAAAATATGCTATTTTTGGAAATTTCGATCGTATGTATGAGTTACTTGCATTACGTACCTTAAAGCCGATGTCGTAAGCAATGAAATTTTTAGCATCAATGCAAACTGTGTAGCTGTAGATAGTGCCTTTAGATGAAGCTGCAGTGTCATTCCAAGTGATCATTGTCTTTTGATAACCTTGACCTTGAATTATCAAATTGATTTTCTTTACGCCCACCAACACTTTCTCCCTGTCATAACATAACATGTTTAATTGGTTAATTTTTACATGTGTTGAACACAACTTATAAGTCAAGTAGATTGCATGATCATGAAACATTACTTATATGTGCCTGCATCAAGAATGATCAGTGTTGGTTTCGGGCTATTATCCGGAACAGCGGCCACTGCCTTCTGTAAAGTATTGAACTTCCCACAACCATTTTGATCAACAGTCAAAACAAGCTCAACTTTGTATTTTGCTATGAGTGCAGACTTCCACTTAGTGGTATCACAAGTGACCCCACTCCTCGTCAGACCGAGACTTTTTCCTATAAAAGAGAAGATCTCATAAATTCCACTTTGCTCAAAGATCCTTTTCATAAATATGACTTCAATGCCCCTTATAGAGATGTTAGTGGTGTAAAAGGAGAGTACGAAGGAAAGGAGAGCAATGGCTGTAACAGACGACCAAAACCAAAATTTGTTGGTGTTCATGGCATTGGATTAAAGGATTGCGGTACTTTGCCTAGAACTATGAGGGTTCTTTTTTTTTTTTTTGTATTAGTAGGCTTGTTTCTAAAAGACGGTTAGTTTGATAATGTGTTATAATAGGTTGGTTTTAAGTGGGACCCATCAAATGTATAGTGTATTGCAAAACAGAAAAATATATTTTCATGATAAATTAAATATCTTATTCATATTTATCTTCATACAATATCATATGTTGACATGTGTCATATTTAATAAAATTGATAAAATTTTAGTTCACTTGTCACTATTTAATATGAATAGGAGGATAGTAAGAATAAAATATAGGAGACTATTTAATTTCTCTGTTTTCATTTATAGCTCTTCAAAAAAATATATCTCATTTTTATTTGTTTCTTTGATTATTAAATGACTCAAATTTTATCCCCAATAAAAACCAATATTTCGAGCCAAATGATACATTACATCTAGACTTGAATCAATTTATTACATCTAGACTTGAATCAATTTATAGGATGTTTTTTCAACTCCAACATATACATAGCAAAAATCTTTAAATTTCTTATACCATTTTATGTCTAACAATATTTCAATTAGTAAAAGTTGAATGGATGATCTAGAGTCATAGTGATAAATATACCAAAATTTACCTGCATAATAAGTTATAATATAAAAAAAACAAATCAGTATACATGCTATATGTGATATTTATTATTAAATACATGAATGATAAATAGATAATAATACTTACCTTGTTATGGATAATGAAAAGAAGAAAGAAATAACGTACGATCAAATATTATGAGACAATTTACTTAACTTGAAGGGATAATAAACAAAATTTATAATAGAAAAAGTGAATTGATTTGAAAGGTCATTCAATTATTTATTTGACTTTTCAAAAAAGTAAAAGTTGGGTCTAGGGTATCAACAACAACCCGAACTCGATTAGCCCGACTTGATCCAAAGTTGAATAGAGAAAATAGAGTTGGTTATAATCCGGTCTAAAGCTAAAATTGGGTTTATCTTGTCAACCCGAATAACCTGTAATATAGGGTCGAGTTTCGAGTTTACGTAATTTTGTATAATCGGTTTCGGGATAACCCGGTTAACCCAAAGCTGAAATCGGTTTCGAGTGTACTAAAAAAAACTACCATAAAAATCGGTTTAACTTAATTTGTACTTTTAAGCTTAATTTATAATATAATATCATTTTTAATTGAACTTTTAATTTTGTGATTTTTTAATATATTCAACATTAGTATATGTTTGAAGGTATTTGTAAGATATATTTAATGATATAACTTATTTAAAATAATACATAAATTATAATTATATATTTTAGAATAAGTTAATCTATATGTGAGATATAATAAAGGTAAAAAATAATTTATTTGATAATAAAAGATGTAAACAAAGATAAAATAAAAATTAGAGGGCTAATATTAACATATAAAGAATTAGAAATGAAATGTATTCAAATTCTCTAGAATGAATTGATCTCATTGAAGAAAATGGTAAGCCTTTTCTCAAACCAACTTATTTCTACAACACTTTATCAAAACTAACCTATTTGTATGATTAACACTTTTTAGAAAAACTCAAATAAAGTTGGATCAATAGAAAAGTTTGTTTTTGTAGTTGTTATGGTGAACAGTAACGTAAGCAAATTGATAAAAATATATTTTGAATTATACATTTTGGACATAAGATTACCGAAAAAATTGCTCTAAGAAATATATTTAACTGATGACCCATTTCAAATAGTACATTAATTTTAGACTTTATATTTTGTGCATTTCAGACAAAAGAATTCCTCATATTTACGAATAGACGATAATTAAAAAAAGTACTGCCCTTTTAAATGTTGTGATTTAGTGTTTAACATATTTCTTAACTATGTGTTTAACTTATATTATAATGATAGGTGTAAGATCCATTTATTACATAAGTTCATTTTAAAGAAAAAAATATGAAAATCTAAACATTTGTGAAATTTGAATTTATAAGAAAATAATAAAAAAATATTGCATTATTAAAATTAAATTGTTTGTTTTTCTTTTAAATTAAACAAATAATTTAGATAAATAAACAAAAGAAAATAATGAAACGTTAATTTAAAAAATTTGAAATTAGAAGAAAATCAATTAATTAAATTAATATGAATTTATTATTATATTTATTGTAATTATTATATTTAAATATTATGTGGAAATTAATAAAATAAAAAAAAAATTCACAAAATTCTATGTAGAAAAAAATTAATTGAAATAACCACAAAATGATATGTGGTCAAATTAGCAAAAGTGTGAAATATGGCAAAAAAATTCTTTATTTATTAGGAATGATTATTTTTAATTGATATTTTAAGACATTGTAATATGTTCAATATTAATATTTATTTTAAGATATTATATCTATTTAATGATATGTTATATAAAAAATAATACATAACTTGTAATTATATAATTTCGAATAAGTTAGTCTACATGTGAGATATAATAAAGGTAAAAAAAATTAATTATTAAATAATGAAAGATATAAAGTAAGAAAAAGATAAAAGTTGAAGGGCTAATATTTTAACATATAACAGGTTAAAAATGAAATATATTCAAATTCTCCGGAGTCCGGAATGAATTGATCCGGAAAGAAGAAAATTATGAACCATTTCTCAAACCAACCTATTTCTAAAAAAACTTTATAAAATTAACCAACCTATTTCTACAACTGTCATACAACACTGTATCAAACTAATATATTTCTACAATCGCCATTTTACATACATATGTGTGTATATATTCCATTTGATATAGATTACAAGATCTGACAACTTAATTCCGAATATAAACTCCATATCTCATTATAACAAATAAAATCAGTCAAACAACAAAAATGTAGTGACTTATTAGCCCTCTAAAAATCTCGAAGGAAGTTGTAATACCAAAGGAAAAGTAAACACTATAACATTTCCAAATTTATGATTATTTTAAAAATTTTATTTATGTTTTTTTAAATCAAAGTATTTTTTTTTTTTTTTTTTTTTTTTCTGAATTCACCCCAAAAATATTACTTCAATGCGAGATAATATTAATATTATATATTTCCGAAGAAACATTCTATATTTATATTCTTTTAAAACTTTGAATGTCATAATTGATACAAACATAAGCGTAAAAACACATTATATTAAATTACACTAATGATTTATATCTCTTTTAATCTTTCAGTATAATGTATCTTCGTATCGATATCTGTGATACAGCTTAACTAAGTGGGTCCGGTTGAGAAACTTAGTAAGATACAACAATTTGTGCATTAAACTATTGTGTTGTACAACTCCATAAAACATGTTGTGTATGAAAAAAAAATTGTGTACAGATCACCTTTTTTTTCAACCCACAATATTATAATATTTAATTATATATTCTTCATCATTCAAATTACCCCATTACCGTAAAGCAAAACTGACTTTTATCATATCATCATATCAAAACCCTAGTCACCAACAGCGCACAAGACAATCCATTTTAAGCATCTGACCGCAATCCATGTATTTGTATCTAAATCCTAATTATCTCCCAGTCCTAAATACTTACGATCTTCATAAATGTTTTCTACTGATTTTGAACAATACTCATTTTATGTATCCTTCTAAATCTATCCCCAGAAAACTTTCTTAACGTCAATGTATTTTTGGTTAAGCTCCGAAACATACATATGGAAGAAATAACCTAGAAAGAAAAATTACAATATAAAATAACTTGGCAAATTGCGCTATTCTTCGCTTCTTCGAAATCTTCATACTTTGATAGCTCTTATTCACTGAACAACTTTGCAACTTTTTCTTTTCTATTTATTTTTATTTTTATTTTCACAATTTTTTCATTTTTTTTATAACTTTTTTCACTTTTCTCTCGAACTAAAAACCCTAAAAAGAAAAACATATGCTTACGCAATGGAAATTAACTTCAACATTTATTGGTTATAGATATTAGTTAAAAGTGAAATGACTAAATAAGTTATCCTAGACACATTTTAAGTACACAATGTTAAACATATTATGTCTCTCAAACTAAATAAGTCTGCGTTTTTATCCAACGATTTTACTAAGATTGGGAAGCCACAAATACACTAGAACATATATTTGCTCAATTAAGTATCAAAGTTCACATCAGATCGTCCCAAACAGCACTAGCAACCTAGGTCTCAACATAATAATATAATTTTTTATAACTACATTCAATTTTAGATTATTGTTTCAAATCTTTCTAATAATTTCTTAAATCCTAGTCATTTTAATTTTTATCATCAGTAAGCTTGCATTCCTAAATTCAACCCCTTAAAATACCGTACACTTGTCTTTTGCTTACCCTCAAGCAAAACTGAGTTTTATCATATCATCACATCAAAACTCTATTTACCAACATCGCACAAGAAAATCCATTTTGATCATCTCCATTACATCAATACCGCAATGCATATATTTGTTTCTAAATCCTAATTACCTCCCAGTCCTAAATACTTACAATCCTCATAAACGCTTCCTATTTATTTTGAACAACACTCATTTTATGCATCCCTCCAAATCCATCCCCATAAAACATTCTTAACCTCAAGGTATTTTTGGTTAAGCTTCCAAGCATACTGATGTGAATAATATTCTCTAAGATCGATAGATTCAAACAGATATCGATAAGATAACAACAAGTACTAGAAAACGATAAACACCACAATGAGTCAAATGAATGTCGAATGGTTAATATGCTCCACCTCAGAAGAATTTAATAATTGTTACTGTATAGGTGTGTTAGGGTTACAGTACAAAATCTTTTAAATAATAATCAAGAAGTGTAATTAATATAATGCATGCATGCACTATATATACTAAACCCTAAAACAAAACACGGCTAGATAGGCCCGGACCGAGGATACAAATGGATCTAAGAGTTAAGCCCAAAGACGCAACCTCTTCGACTCAAAAATCTCTGCATTTGCGTCAATTGGGGAGAGAGATCAACTTAGTTTAGAAAAAGTGCTTTTCTTCACCGTCTTGAATAACATCAGTATGATGGAAAGAAGAGTTTGGCGAATACAAATGTACCACCAAAGCATATCCGTAAAATTCTTCTTATCACTT